GAGAAAGAGAGGAAGACAGAGCATGAGGCAGGGAGGGGCAGAGAGAAAGAGAGACAGGATCCGAAGCAGGCTCCAAGCTCTAAGCTCTCCGCCCAGAGCCCAAGAGGGCTCGAACTCACAAACCCCACAAGATCATGACCTGAGCCAAAGTTGGACGCCTAACCTGCTGAGTCAGCCAGGAGCCCCTAGAACTGCTTTTTAAAAAGGTGACCTTGAGAGAATCATTTCTGTGTCTTAGCTGTGAGCATCCGTTTCTACAAGCTCTGGGCATGTTACCTGTTTACCTGGGGTTTTATTTGCGTATTAAGAGCAGGAAGGACATAGCGAGCCTTACAGTATTCTGTTAACATATTTATTTATTTTTCTTTTTAAAAAAGTTTTTTGTATTTATTTTTGAGAGAGCAAGCCAGCAGGGGAGGGGCAAATAGAGGGAGACAGGATCTGAAGCAGGCTGTGCACACACTGACAGCAGAGAGCCCGATCTGGGGCTGGAACTCATAAACCTGAGATCATGACCTGAGCCAAAGTCAGATGCTTAACCACCTGAGCCACCCAGGCGCCCCATATTTTAAACAGCGTCATATTTGAAAATATTACTCTAATAATGGAGTGGGTTTTTTTTTTTTTTTTCACCAGTGAAATACTGCCTATAAACCTGAAGAGCATATACAGTTTGGTAAAATTTCATGATTGAAGCTCTGTGGCATGTTAACTTCTTTTGAAACATAACGTGTTTAATTTTAATTTTTGAAGTTCTTGTAGAGAAATCCATAGGTCCGTGTTGATAATGAAGAAAGTGCCCTAAAGAAGTGTTTGTTTTTGGTGTAAGACTACTGCTGCCCCCCTAAATTGAACGATCCCTGTATGAATGAGGTGACTTTTCTCTGGTTTGTTCTGTGATACCCCAGAGTATGCACAGCCACTGGTGGGAGGAATTGTTGGCACCCTTCATCAGAGATCTACCTTTAAACCAGAAGAAGGAAAAGAAGCGAGTTATGCTGACTTAGATCCTTACAACTCCCCGGTGCAAGAAGTTTACCACGCCTACGCTGAACCACTGCCAATTACTGGGCCCGAATATGCAACCCCCATCATCATGGATATGTCTGGACACCCCACGGCTTCAGTTGGGCTGACCTCAACGTCTACTTTCAAAGCTGCAGGGAACCAAGCTCCCCCAGTAGTAGGAGCATATAACACTCTCCTCTCCAGGACTGACAGCTGCTCCTCCGCCCGCGCCCAGTATGACACCCCAAAAGGTGGGAAGCCAGGTCCAAGTGCGCCAGACGAACTGGTGTACCAGGTGCCACAGAGCACCCAGGAGGGATCAGGAGCCGGGAGGGATGGTGAATGTGATGTTTTTAAAGAAATTCTTTGAAGGTGATGCTGCTTTTCATAAAGCATCGTTTTAAAGCACATGGCCTTTTTTGTGTGTTAGTGGTAGTAATATATAGAATGTATTACGTATCTGTCACAGATGTGGTTGGGAAAATGTGATGACCGAGGTACAGGGAACTACTAATCTTGCCATCTTGCTTTAAAAGTGTTATCGTGGCAGTTACTGCTTGCCTGTTAAATTTCAAACATCCTCTTTGTTACTACTGTAAAACACTATTTTTAATACAGAAAAAGCTCCCTACTATGCACTTCAAAGAAATTTAAGAATCACTGAGAGTATTTATTACCAATGCTGCAGGTACATTGATGAACTCAAGAGATGGCTGTGTAAGCCGGACTGGCAATAACGCACGGTACTGTTCTTGAAATGTCTAATGGCTTGAAATTTTGCTTTGTGAAAGGTGGGTACTATCAGGATTTCTTTCTGTTCTATTTCTATATACCTTACGGTTTTTTGTGGGGTTTTTTCCAAAAATTAGTGATATAATCATTGTTTTGATGGTAGTCGTCCACTCCTCTTTCCTTTGGAGGATCTATAGGTGGGAAACTGACTTGTAATGGGCAAGGTGATTGATTCTTCACCTTCTGACACCTCAAGAGCTTTAACATTTCATGGTACGTGAGCTGGTTTCAGCCCTGCTTGCTCTGTCTGGGGCCAGCCCTATTCTTGTGTTTTAAAATGTTTGAGTTATTTTAGCGAGTGATGCTTGTTTCATCAACCTCATGAATCCTCTAATTTTACACAGCTGTAACAGATTCTCTCCCTCCCTCCAAATTTATCTGCAAAGGGCGAGTTGTGAAAACTTGAGAGCATCTAAGTGAACACCGTAAACGTGACCCCCTTATATTTATTTACCACACTGAAAGGCAAAAATCCTTTCTCAGAAAGGATTTACCTTAAAAAAAAAAAAACTATTTGCCCTCTTTGATTTAATATACAGGGATTTTTCTTTGAATCCAAAGGTATTTGGGGTCAGTATTTTTAATGATCCACAGTAAAATACTGAAAGAAATATAAAACCCACATGGATTCCTCAGCTGTGTGTGACTGTGCCCTCATCTGTATGGGGGAAGGTGTGAACAGTCCTTTCCAGCATACCTAGGGAACACAGGCTCTGGCATCCGAGCCAGCAAATATTACAGCTTGTTTGTGAAATTTTCAGGCAATTTCTTTGTCACCATTTGCCCAGGAGTCGTTTTAGATGGGTGAAATGAAAAGCATCTGTAATTTACCAGCCTCTAGTGTAAAAACCTTTCAGAGTCTTTGGCAAGAGAAGCTGGCCCTCAGGTTGAAACCTAATTTGGCATCTAGGCTTCTATAAATCCCAGTGTGTAGACTTAATCTTGACATGTAATTTCCCATCAGGATCTAGACCTTTCTGTTGGCTTGTGCCACCAGATTGTTTCCAGAATTTGCTAGAGTTGAGGACCGTGTTCATTCTGCTTGCTTCCTGAGGTAGATGAATATTCTAAAGCATTGCTTCAAAAATCCAACTACGCTGCAGCCTCTCTGCCCTCTGGTCTTATGATTTCTGTTGGTGTCATTTGCTTTTCCAGACAACTTTGCATAATTTCATTCATTGAAAAAAACCAGTTCATATTGTTTCAAATATTTTGAAACAAAAAGCACAGATGTTGAACTTTTTATTAAGACACAAATGTGTAAAGCACATGTATTACTGCAGTTATCCCCTTTCGGGGGGGAAAGAGTAAACCAATTTATTTGTTATTCACCCAATCATAGGCCTGTTCTAGAAGCTTTAAGAGAAACTGTTTCATCTTCCCAAAGATGCTTGTTCTTTTTATTTAATGTTGTGTACGGGATTTTCCCACAGAACTTTTGAGAGGCAAATGTTTTCTTAAATGATGCATGTTTTTTTTGCCACTGTGCTGTGCTTGAACTACCAGTGATTTTTACAAAAGTTTTTACTGCTTTTATAAATATATTTTACTTTCCAAATGAAGAGCTGAGCCTGACTCAAAGAGTTCTGATATTGTACTTTGAGTTCGTTTGTTTTCACATTAGAGTTTTGCTTTTGGGTTTTGTAACCCCATTTCTATGTCTGATACCTATCTATACAGCTTTGGAGACAATCAAGTAACAACTGAAAATGTGAAAGTAACCTTTTTTTTGTTTTTTCAAAATTCCCTTGAATTTTTATTCTTTGCTCGAAACATTTAAAAAAGACACGTAAGTCACTGTTCTTTTGGATGAATTTTTTTCCTGTTAGCACAATCGTCAGACAATGGTACAGCACGTGTGGCCCTTCCAGGTTTCCTAAAATCACACTGACTTCTGACACATGGTCTTCGGAACCAGCACTGTTCAAGATATTGTGAATGCTGATTTGTATTGTATTAAAAGCTGTAACACTAAATAGATCCTCTTGTATATGCGGGGTCTAGTTCAGTTATTTAAATTCATGTTTCACTATTTGCACTTTGCATTGAATGGGTTTATCCGCTGATGAAGTGGTTTGTGTAGAGAATTTATATAGCAGTTGGAATTACGGTGTCATGTATACTCTTGCCCTCTGATGCCCCAGCAGAAAATGCACTCATCTAAACATGAATGTGGCCATAATTCTTTGGAAAGTGAGAAAGCTTGGAACTTCCTTGCCTTGGCTCCACCTGGTCACCTGGAGAGTGAAAGGGCTATGGAAATGCCATGTCAGACGATAAGATGCATTGTGGGCCAAAAACTTGTCACACTCTTTTAAGAGAAATCAGTTAAGCTCTACCTTTAAAAAACTGCCTATTAGTTCTGCCTTTCTGTTCTGAACTTGAAGTCCCTAAACTGCAAAATCAATTAAGAGTTGGATGGTTATTAAAATACTTTCAACTGTGGCACCAATTCTTATTTGCTCCAATTTGTGACTTTTTTTTTTTTTTTTTTTGCACTGGGAAAGGTAGAAACCAAACAGAATACTGAAATACATATTGGAAAATAAAAATGGTTTGTCAGTGATTCTCCCAGAATGTACTTTTCTTACCTCGGCATGTACTGTAGTCACTCAGTATTTGTATATGTTGCTAGGATTTAGATTGTATAAATAGTGAAATTTTAATGTGTTCTTGTGTTTTTAATAAATTGTATATATATGTGTCTTGCTGAGAATTTTCTTCCTTGAGGTTTGTAGCCTTTTCTCATACTACACAAAATGCCAGATCCCTCAATTTTAGCATCAGACTGTACTGCCATTATTTTAGTCCGTACAGTAACATTTGAAAATGCTACCGGTGGTTTTTTTTACTGTCACTAGAGCCAGCACCATCCTTTTTTGAAGCCTAAATTAGGTTGCAAACTACGGCTGTGTGGTATGAGGGACAGGTCACACTAATACCTGTCTTTTCCACCTCAGAGTGTCCTCCCCCTTATACTCAAGTATTTACTCCTGCATCCCCTCTAACAGTTCACCCTTGACAGACTCCAGAGAGACAGGGTGGTCTCCATCGTCTCCCAGTGGTAATTCTTGTTCGAGACAGCAGTTCTTTCAACTCTTTCCCCTCCTGAGAACTTTTAATTCCAGCCCTCCTGTAACTTCTTTTTCCCTCACCCCCATACCCTTCCCTCCCCAAAACAAGAAGGGAGACTAGCTCACCACCTCCGCTGGACTGGTTTTTAACTTGTTTGCATCCAGTGGGATTCTTCTGATGCACCCTAGGTATCCAGATAAGCCTTCCCTTTGAAGATGTGATTTAATCGTGGACAGTTGAGATTTTTCATGAAAATACCATTTAAATCCAAAAACAGCTTGAATCTTCTAAAGGGTTTAACTTACTGTGTCGTCTTCATTTTTCCTAATTGAAATAGTAAACTTTCAAATTTTAATATATTAAACAAGGCAGAAAATGATGTTTAACAATGGTCTCCTGGAGCTTCTTTGTATAAACTTAAAAATAATGCAGTCACCAGACTTTAGTAATTGTATTCTTAGGCTATTTATCCAGAATTTCATATTCAGCCTATTTCCTTCACCTTAAAAACAAAAACACCACCTTCCTTCTATGAAATTACTCATTAATAATCCTGGTTTAGTTAAAAGCTTAATGAAACTAGTATGGTCTTAGATTTCCTTGACCATAACCCACTGTTGTGTTCAGGGCTGCTTTTAAGATTAAAATCGGTCTCCTCGGGGACAAAAAGGAACTAATCAACCATTTAGATACATGCCTAAAATGGTTCCATTTTGCCATATCAAGGCACAACCACATCTCCATTCCCCACCAATTTACAGTAGACTAGTACACCTCTCAAAATGTGTTCAAAATTTGTTGTGGTAAACTAAATCCCCTACTAAGAAGTCACATCCCTTCAAAAGTCTAACATGAAGTAACTACAAAAAGATGTTTAAAAACACTTCAGAAAACTAGGTTTTAAAAACAATGCATTCAAAACTTATTTCCCTGATAACTAAACATATCCTGGTTTTTATAAATTAAATATATTCACAGAAATTAAGCTGGTGGTTTTGACTCACCAGGCGACAACAGACTTTTATGTACACAATTTCTTGACAAGTGCATCCAACATATTTAAAAATAAACTAAAAATTGCAGTATAAAAATAAAACTAATACTGTTAGCATCGTCTTCTGAGTCTGTAGGGTCAATCTTCAGTCAAGTTGATTACAAAGTTTTTTTCTATAATGTCCTTCAAAAAGAGCTGCTCCGCTGTCACATTGTGATATGCATTCTAAAGAGGGAAAGTATAATAAAGTCACCACCCCAGTCAAAAAATATTAACAGCAGCAATGGAATGCACAGTATCTAAAAAGTTTCTGAATGAAAAACGCAAGTAGCAAGTATACAGGTAGACTTTTCAGTTACCTTATTCTTTGCTCATTCTTTTGCTACAGCCATCCCTACAGCCCACTCTTTTCCACTTAAACCATCACGTAAAGCCCCCCCCCCGCCCCATCATTTCCTGTCCTCCTAAAAGGGACTTAAGACTAGAGACCAAAATTTTAAGTCAAAGTGGGTTGATCATTTTAATAAAAGCACCTGAAACTCCTAAGAGACATCAGCCTAGAGATAAAAAGAGTTCCATACTCTTGATGGATATCCTAATTTTCCTCACAAAGTTGTTACGATGTTATTTAGGACTAAGGAGAAATGCATCCTAAAGTCTGCCCCAGGTACCTAACTCTTGAACTACTTAAGCATTTGTCTCACAAGGGGTGGGAGGTGAGGTAATACCAGTTCTCTAGCTTCTGTAGTATTTGGGGATGATGATGTAAGGGCACTGATTACATAGGATAGATCCATATCCATTACAGTGACCCATTCATACTTCCATATTAAAAATATACAGATAACATTTTAATCCTAACACTAGTGATATGCCACTAACCTCACTTAGACAACTCCTTCCCATTCTGTTAAAAAGGCTTACAGATCTTGGGGTGTCTGGTCCGTTGGTTGAGTATCTGACTCTTGATTTCAGTTTAGGTCACAATCCCATGGTCGTGGGTTGGGCCCCGTGTCAGGCCACATGCTGAGCATGAAACTGGCTTAGGATTTTCTCTCTTTCTCTCTCCAAAATAATAATAAAGTCTTAAAGGTACTATCTACCATCACTGATCTCTAATTCAAGAAAAGCATGATCTATAAAGCTTTGCAACCTTTTTGACCATGAATATTCTTTCAGGGAGCTAAAATGTTACAAACCTCGTCTACATAACTAAAAAAGAAAAAAAAAAAAAAAACCACCACAGAAAAGCACAACAAAAAGCTAGATCATCTTCCTAACTCCAAATGCACCTGCATCTTTACCCTTGTTTTCAGTGCTCGATCCTCTTACGTGGATGAGTGTCTCTGTTCCATGGCAATGCTAAGTGAATTTGAGATACTACAAATAGCAAGTTGCCCGTATGTGTATATAAATAGTGCAAACATCATCTAAGATAAGGCTGGGTGCCTATATGGGTTTGATGATACTTGAGAATAACTGTGTCATATTCCCAAGGGTCCGGGGCCCACAAATTGGAACAAGGGTGGTACTAACAACCCCGGATCCAAGTCCCAGTTTCAGCACTTGGGAGCTCTTGGTAGGGTTAAGCAGCTCTCAAACTCTCAAAGCCTGTTCCCTCACTAAAAATGACAGTGGAGAAAATGTGGGCTTTCCAACTCTAAGGATCAAAGATTACACCCAAGTAGGTATGTATTACCTTACTCATCAAAGACATGGTGGCATTCCCATAATAGTGCAAAGGACTCTTGAGGTCAGAAAAGTTATATTTAAATCCAGCAAGGTGAACTTCATGACATATGTGAAAAGCCAATGTGATGGCAATAATTCCTGTTGTTGGGTGCTTGGGTTTCTGGAAAAGGAAATTAAAGTTTTTTTAGAACCCAAACAAGATACTTGTTTCCAAAGCATATTTAGGTGACCTCACCCTATGAAACCAGGACTTCTGAACATTTAATCAGGTGAGAAATACTTAGGTTAAACCCTCATCATGTCTAAGACCCAACCCCCAGTTAATATCCTAACTCTGAAAAAGCATAGAAAGTGTGACTGGAATCTTAGAAAACCTTTCAAATAAAACTTAACTGCAATATTAGCCCAGAGGACAACTATCAAATGAAGAAACACCATGAGGCTCAAGGAAAAGGATGCCACTGCCGCCGTATTTTATAAAACATGCTGAATTTGGCTTCCTGTGGAAAAAGCATAGCCTGTGAATTTTGAACCCATTTATGAAATGTAAGGACAGGTTAATTTGCTAATGGATGATCATGGTGAAAGAATTCACAGAAGCCTTAAACTAAATCTATTTTATAATCCTAGTAATTTAGCTGTAGGGAAAGACTAAGTAACTTCAATGACAAATAGTTAAGACTCTGATTAGAAAATAAAAATGCCAGATATATACGTAGTAATGTCACAGTCTCAACTGGCTCATTATCAATTTAAAAACAAAAACCAAGCGTCCCCATCATATACACCTATATCCTGAAAATGCAGTCACATGTTTGACAGTAAGATCTTCAAAGTTTTAATTCTCACCAGGATGGCCTTCAAAGGCAAAAACAAAATACATCTTAAACTTTTTAACACAGCAATCTAAAGAGATTTTCTTTCGATTAAGTATTACAGATTCCATGGAAATTACATATTATGATTTTGAGGAGGAGAAGAAATCCAAGAAGCACAATAATAGCAAATAAACTCACAGAGGCAAGCCTGTCTGAAAGCCTAACTGCCTTTGAAATACGCTTTTCTTTACCCACTGCCCTACTGTGACCACCACAACCCTTCACCATCTGTTAGAAAAGGAAATTAGTGGGGCGCCTGGGTGGCGCAGTCGGTTAAGCGTCCGACTTCAGCCAGGTCACGATCTCACGGTCCGTGAGTTCGAGCCCCGCGTCGGGCTCTGGGCTGATGGCTCAGAGCCTGGAGCCTGTTTCCGATTCTGTGTCTCCCTCTCACTCTGCCCTCCCCCCCATTCATGCTCTGTCTCTCTCTGTCCCAAAAATAAATAAACGTTGAAAAAAAATTAAAAAAAAAAAAAAAAAAAGGAAATTAGTGACTGGGTTAAAAGCCTGGGTTTTTGGAGGTTTTTGGAGGTTAAAAGCCTCCAACCTCATTGATCCCATCACTTTCTCCCCCTTCTGTCCCTCCCCTTCATGTCCTCTACTTCCTTTCTTCATATCTTAGAGTACCTTCAGCCGTGATTATCACCATTCCCTTATGGAGACCTTCCATTTTCTGTACCTGTCACCCACAGAAATAGATGATCACCTGACAGAATCTTAACCCCGGCTCCACCCACACCCAAGCAGCAGAACAAGCTAAGAGAAAACAACGTATGTGCCTGGGCACACTTTACGTTTATGGCCAAAGCCTCAAGCGGCCGTTCAGTATTTCCCGAGTAAATTTCCACTCCTACTCTCCAAGGTGACACTTTTATACCTTTAAATCCAACAGCCCCAGGCTCCTTTCTACTTTAAACTGGTAACTGAATCCTTGTTTTACTAACAGAAACAGAGAAGAACTACACCATCTTCCCAATTCCCAATCTACCTTCATCTTCACCTGTATTTTCAGCGCTCACTCCTCTTAGGTGCACATGATGTCTGTTCCCACCTATGGCCAACCTCGCCAGTAGTGCACTCTTTCATCCAATCTCGTCTCTCTCAACAAGCCTGCTTCTACCATTACCCACTTTCTCATTATCTTCTTCTGTTGAATCATTCCCTTCAGCATATAATCATGGCCATCTGTCTTTGAAAAACCACAAAACCTTCCTTGATCCGATGTCTTTCAGCCATTTCTCTGCTCTCTTTTCTAGCAAAACTCTATTAAAGATTCACCTCCACTTGCTCATGTCCCATGTTCTGTTTAACCTAAGTCAAGCAGGCTTTCTCCCTCTTTTATTCTTGTCTGTATTACCAATAGGACTTCCATGTTTCCAGAACGAATGTTTATCATTTGTGCTCAACCTCTGGACAGCATCCCACATAACCTCTCTGAAATAGCGTTACGTCCTCATTTGGCTTCTGGCACACCATGTTCTACTGGAACTTCAATCTAGTTACAACTAGTTTTGGAGACCTAATTAAGATAAGGGTCATCCTATGCTTTTGGAGACACTACCTAAAACAGAAAACAAAAGTTGTATCTGATCTTACTTCACTTAGGAAAATTAGAGCTAAGAAGTCACAAAACGTACATTCAGAAGCGGTCTTTTCCCCTCAAAATTAAGAAATTATTAAGAAGCTGTCCCTTCAAAAATTACCAAGAAATACGGCTTAAATTTAAAATCTTTATGCTTTTTGACTTGGGAATCCCACTTGTAGGAGTCTATCCTACAGAAATCACACACATGGCCTGAAAATACCTAGAATCACATGCGTTCCTCCATAGTATATAGAGGAAGAAAGCTGGATGCAAATGGAAATGTCTATAAATAAGGAAATAGTTCATTAAATGGAGGGGGGAAATGGCAGAAAATAATTGAACAAAAAGTGTAAATGCATATAAAATAGTCTAGAAAGATATAAAAGGCAAAAAAAAAAAGGGATAGTGAGATAGAGAAGGATGATTTCCTTTATATATTATAACATATATATTAGAATATAAGTAGATATATTTGATATATATTCCTTTGTAAGTGGTTTCATTTTAAGCATGAGAATCTAACAATTCTAAACTTGAGAAATTTTTTTTTTAGCATACTAAAGAAAAGATAACATGATGTGTGTTTATTTCTTTGGATTTTCCCTGATTACCAAAAAGAAAAACCTCATTTCAGCTGAGATATTATGTTACACACTTGCTCAAGCTTCTGATGAGAACTGGTCTCTGCCACTGTATGGGTCTGGAGAGTATTGTTTTCTAGGGAACATAACCGAAGAACTACAAGAGTCACAATCGGTGAGACTCCCTTTACTTAATTAAAGAGTTTGGAGTTTCAACCACCCTTCCTCCAATTTCAGGACCAGTGTCTCCTCTGTGACCGCAGAAATATTTCTGAACTACCTTGTCCTTCCTTTGCCTTTCCTCTGGTTTACCGGTGCTATTTTTATCAGAGTGCTTCAGACAGTTCTTTTTAGCCTGAAAAGCCACGCACTTGTTCTGAATCCCTTCCTGCTACTCTGAGCACGGCTGGCCCATCAGCCCCCGACCCCGTCAGACTCTCCTCACTGCAGAATATTGAAGACAAGGTTATGAGAAATGAGCCATTCAGGCATACAGAAGGAGACCCCGGAAGGGCTCTGCAAGGACAGGAAAAAAACAAAACAAAACAACATTCCCCTTGAGACTCTTTCCTTGCAGTCCGAAGAACATAAAGATAATAGCCAGATATCTAAGTTCACTACCTCAGACGTGGCCTTCAGAAGCCACCTTGTGAGTCCTGGCTCTCATCCTTTCTGAAAACCGTCGGAACCCTCCACCCTACCCCAGCCAGATCTTTAGTTTGAAACTGCGCCAGGAAAAATACGTACCTGATTTTTGGGAAACACTTTTGGGAAGTGAAGCAGTTCATAAGCTGCCATTCTGATAATGAAAGGATCTAATATTCTGATTTGATAAGGTCTGTAGATTAAGTTCAAGGCTGGTTTCTTCCAAAAACCATTAGTGTTCTGAAATAAAATAAGAACCCAGAAAATAGAACATTGTGGTTGTCTTTTTCTTTTTTAATGGGAAAAAAAAAACTGAAGGTAATCAGAAGGCAGATCAATTTTGCCAACTTACTATTTTGCCACCTGTCAACAATTCCCACAGCCACTTTAAATCAAGTGGCTTAAAAGCAGTGAGAATCGCCGTAGTATTAGGATCATTGTGATTGGGATCTGAAAAAACAGATTCTGGATAAAAAAGTCGGAAGGTTGTCCTTCTCCCAACTTCCTCTTCATGTCCTAAAACAGGACCATTATTCATTCTGTGGGTAGTAAAACACAAAATAATGTAGACCAAGTTCAGTAGGAGCCAATTCCATCCCAGTTTCAGAGCTTACAGAGCAGGACAAACCAGAAACCATGGGTCTGGTGCTAAAAGCTACAAGGCGACTGCTTGATTTTTAAGGTAAAACAGCCAAGGAAATCATCCCCTTTCATGAGACAGCTGGCTGGATCAAAGGCAGAAATGTTGAAAATTAATTGTGGGGCCACAACTAATTCAGTCCGACCTCCAGAAAAACCAAAGACTAAATAAAACCAAATGAGAACAGAGAACCACAGAAAACTAGAGTTAAGAGAGACCTTGGAGGGCGTTCAGAACAAAACCCCTTGGGTGAGGGCCCTGAAGTCCAAAGTTACTTGCCCCACGTTACAGTCATGGAGCACACAGGCTGACAGGTAAGGATCACACTGAAGGTGACGTGAGGACCCATCAAAATTGTTGCACTCCATAATAAAGTAATAATATAAAATTTCTGTATTCTACCCAAGCACAAGCAAATAAATGTCACTGCTAGAGGGAACTAAAGAACCACAGAGGATCTACTGTTGGGCTTGTGCCTGCTCAATGCCACAGTTAGACATGCGCTATTTATGCATACACTAGGAAGGCATGCTATTAAAAGGGATGCTTTGTTTCCAAAACAGTGTCCCCTAGAGGATAAATACTGTTCTGCCCTTTGCCACGGACTCAATGTAATATGAGACAGTCTTAATAACACTTAAATGACTTTCATAAATGCTGTGCCCGTGGCATTCTCCCACAAGGGTTTGCTGTGGTTCTGGATGATCAAATGTTTAGACAATTATAGGTTAAAAAGATTGTTTTAAAATTGTTGTGTGGACAAACTTTCACAGCTTCCTCAAAATGGAGAGTGAACAGAAAATAAAGTGACCTCACAATGGCAGCTTGTAACCCAGCAAAACCCCCAAGCACTGCCAGGTCAGCCTAATGCACTGCGCCAGCGTGAAACCTTCCCACTCTTCAAAAGACTATTCATAGTCATTCCCAAGGCACACAACACATCACCCAGATGATGACCTTACTTTAATCTTTCAATGAGAAAGTAAGAGACGGAAATGTCCTCATTCTCCCACCCGTTCATCGGTGGGACTTTTGGTAGTCATAACCACAATTCCAGTTTTCCTTTCATCATAGAGGACCAACCACACTTGAACTCTGCAGCCATCCCCTCTCTCTACCACAGCAATCTCTTTGTTCATTTCTGTCCATTTACCAATATGCTCTAGAATCTCCTATCTTTAAACAGGAACAAAACAAAAGAGCCTCCTTTGAGTCTATAACCATCTCCAGCTACCATCTCGTAACTCAACACCACAGCAAAACTTCTCAAGAGAATTGCCTATGCTTGTTTCTTCACTTTCTTGCCAGTCACTCTCTCCTAAACCACCTGGGTAGGGCCACTCCCCATATCATATCTCCAAGTCTGCTTTTGTCAAGAGTATGAGTAAGCGTCGAGTTGCATGTCCAATGGTGAATTCGCTGTCCTTATCTTGCATGACCTCTCACCAACACTGGACATAGTTGACCTCCTCTGTTTTAAAACACTTCCTAACTTACTGGTAGATCCTCTTCCAACTCGTTTTTTTTTTTTTTTTTTTTTTTTTCTTTACTCAACATCTAAGTGTAGGGTACCTCAAGACTCTGTCCTGGGAACCTCTTCTCTCTCTGTTTTTCCCTGGGGAATCTTGCCCAATCCATGGTTTAAATACAGCTTACAAGCTGTTTACCAATGAGGCTTTAACCGTTTAACCAACGGCCTACTTGACTTACCACTGCAAATCTTACAAGCATCTCAAACCTAACATGTTCACACAGAAATCTTCCCTCTCCAGATCTAAACATGTTCCCACTCTAGTCTTCCCCCAACTCAATCTCTTCAGCGGAAATCCTAGAAGGAGGTATCTGGTTCCTTTATTCCCATCTCTCTTCACATCTAACACATCAACAAATCCTGATAACTCTACCTCTAAAATATGTCTCAGTCTTTACTTACCTCCTTTCTCTGTCATGGCAATCCTGTTCCAAGCCACCATTATCTGCCTTAATATAGCCACCTAACTGGCCTCTTCATTTCTACCCTTGTCCCTCATATTCCATTGTCCACATCACAGCCAGGGTATTTTAAAGGCATAATCAGGTGGAATTGCTGTCCTGCTTTAAAATCTTTAGGGGGCACCTGGGTGGCTCAGTCGGTTAAGCGTCTGACTTCAGCTCAGGTCATGATCTCGCAGTTCATGAGTCCAAGCCCCACTCGGGCTCTGTGCTGACAGCTTGGAGCCTGGAGCTTGCTTCGGATTCTCTGTCTCCCTCTCTCTCTCTGCCCCTTCCCCACTCACACTCTGTCTCTCTCAAAAATAAATAAACATTTTAAAAAATCTGCAAAAGTTTCCTGTTGTCCTTAAAGTAAAATCCAAGTTCTAGTCTCAGTTTACACAGTCCTACACAGCCTGCTCCTTCAGCCTCTGGTTATACCACTCTCCCCAGGCCTGCTGCCCTCCTACCTTGCTGATTTTCTTGGGGCTCCTCTCAAACCCAGGATCATATCCTCCCCCGGGACCTGCACGAAACGTTCTATTTGCCTGGATTGCTCTGATACAGTTGGTACTACAGACTCACTTGGGTCCATCTTAGAGGTCTTCTCCTCAAGATGGTCATCCATTCTAAAGCAGCCATTCAATCATTGCCTGTCATGTATGTTTTAATTGTTTGTATGGCATTTATTACCGCGCTCCCTTATTTATTTAATTATTGTTTTCTTCCCTTCATTAGAATATAAGTTCCACAGGGAGCAAGAACACTGCTCTCATTCACGGTTGTATCCCCTGTGGTGAAAACTGTGCCTGGCATATTAAGGAAACTTCATAAATATTTGTTGAGTCAACGACCTGAAATCTAGGCCTACTCTAGTCAACAACTGAGAGACCAGTTACATAATAAACTTATCTAAGCAATTCTTCTTCCTTTTAAAACACAGTCATACTAAAATAGGAAACCATGTTTTGTTTTTTTTTTTAAACAATTCCAGGTTAGCAAACAGGAAATATATTTACCTTATTATTACATCATAGGAGTCAATTTTTTCTCCTAATGTCTTATTCTTCAAAACTCCTCCATTACCAACCACCACGCACTTTTTACATGGCACACTGCTGGGCAAACAGACAAGTGAGAGGTTGAGACATCTTTCGTATAAGTGGGTGATTCCAAGCACTCGTTCCATACTTTCCAGAACCAACTTTCATTTGTTGCCCAAGTAGAAAAAGAACCAATTGTGACTTACAGGTCTAGAGATATATTAGAAAGATACAGGATTCAATAAATAACATTTCATAGGAAGCATATGATAGCTAGAAACTAAAGCTGCTTATGAGTCCATGCACGGTCCCTTGCTTGAATCTCATAACCACCTGCTCAGACAGGTAAGCCCGATACTCCCATTTTACAAATGAAGAAAGGACTTCAGAGAAGTGTTGGTTACATCTCAAAGTCATATTTCCAAGAGGCAGAATCGGGATTTGCATTCAGACCCTTGGACAACAAAAACACCACTTGGCCTGCAATGCTGCATGTTAATGTTGACACAAGTGTGCTTATGTTACACAGCCGTCCTTTTTTTCACCAGCATTGCCCACTCCCCTGAGTTCCTAGCTCTGGGTCACTGCTGCGTCTCATCAGTGTGGAGACAGTTGGCAATCTGGTGGGTAAGGGGTAGCTTCCTTGGACCCGACCATGAGCACTTCAATTCCCCAAACGTGTACTGCTCCTTGGAGCTTAACCAATGTAAACTCAAAGTTCACTGTGTTCCTGGCAGAGAGCTTTAAAGTAGATGATGAAGCGGGACTTCCTGTTGCTGGCTGGGACTAGCCTAGGACTTTGGATTGTGTGCCATTCGCTCTCAGCAACCCCGAACCCATCTCCAGGCTCTCACCACCTCCCAACGAAGTTTAGAGAAATGACAACTCGGATCATGTCCTTCTCCTTCAGGGGACAAGACTACAGAGGGGAAGCCTGTTGCAACTGTGCTTTCAGGACCCTCAAGACATGAAAGTATAAAGAAAAAAAAACTGTTTCTCTAAGAACCATGAAATAAAGCAAAACAGATGAACTCTAGACCACAAGGCTCTTAAGAAATTAATGAGTAGCAAAATTGCACAAATACTGTAGAATATTTAAACTTAAGAGGGGCACCTGGCTGGCTCAGAGGAGCCTGTGGCTCTTGATATCAAGGTCAGGAGTTCAAGCCCCATACTGGGTGTAGAGATTACTTAAACTTAAAAAAAATAATAAACATAGAGAATGCAGGAATACAGGAATAATTAAAAAGAGCCAAACATTGGCCCTGCCAAGAAGAGACAATGTACACCCTCGTATACATATGAATTGACCCTCTTTCCTTAGAATTTGTTTAGCTCACCTATTTGGTAAGTTTTTAATACTCGAAAACACTTTCACACATTTTAATTTGGGACTTTTAGCTCCCAAATTCAAGGGTCACGTCTAAATCAGTGTCTGCTTTGCTACAAAAACAAGAAAATCCAGTTTCACAGATGTCAGGGACGGGGGCGGGGCGGGGCGGGAGGGAGGGCAGCGGGGAAACAGGTCCAACAAGCGCTGAGGATATAACCCCGAAACTCCTATCATGGACAGATCGCAGTGTGCTCTAGAGCACATTTTTTAAATGCTTGTCTTAGGAAAGAAACATGTGTCTAGATGCTTTTATATTGCAAGTTTGACATTAATCCCACTTCCAGGAAGGCAACTTTATCCACGGTGCTCTGCCACCAGGTGGCACGGAGAAGATGGGAAGACTGGCAAACATTCAAAACCCTTTCCTCTCTGGGTATATTGTCATCAACCTCACCGGATCCATCTTATGAATACTCTATGTGACGAGGGTACTTCTCACATGCACAGCTTGTTTGACTTTTCCTTCCATAACCTCGGGGTCAGTTTAATACAAATCAGAGGCTGAAGCTGTGGAGCTGGCTCCATCTACCTGCTAAGCAAGGCTGGGCATAGGGGAGGGGGTGCCTAGGAACGGACAGGACCCAAATAACAGCTCTGCTCCTATGTAACCTATATGAGGAAGGAGGAGAGCTATCGGTAACTATGGCACCCAGATTAGCCCTTTCCCACCTCCCTATTCCCACGTGCCCCTGCAGCTACAGCATCCAGCCTGGCCTGGGATTTCCAGCCTGACACCAGGCTGACTGACTCTAACATCATCAAACATACCAGGCTAGACAGGAGTGCATACCACCGCCGTGTCTCCGGAGTTCCTACCCTGGAGCCTCATCGAAGGACCACCGACCCACAAGTCTGATCCCCGAAGTTGACCCGTAAAGAGGTAGCTCAACTCCGTCCCAGACACAACCAGTTCCATAATCACTGCTCAGCAATAAGCCAACAGGCTCAACCTTAGTGTTCACAGAAGTTTCTGCTCAGTGGTATGTTTATCAGACTGGACTGCAGTTGGTCATCAAGCCCTAGATCGTTGTGTGGCCAAAAGAGCATTGTGATAAGAGAAGCAACCATCTGCCATACTAATGTGTCACATTCCTGGTCCCCACGCAGGCTCCAGGTCCCGGACCTCCCCTCACAGATCCCATGAAGCCTTCCAGTCAAGAGAAAAGGGAGGAGAGGGCTAGGTGCAGAACTCCTACTACAGGAGCCCCAGGATTAGCTACAGAGAGAAGGCCATGGCTTGTACACAATTCTGTAGCCTCTTCCTGTCCATCGTCCCAGGAGGTTTAAGGGCTTGGGAAAAATGGAAAGAAATCTTAGAGACACTGCCTCACTCAAGAGAACTGTAATTCTAAAGACGGGTCACAGTTCGATGGTCACCACATTTTGAGAAATTTCACTTTCTATGTTCTCCTCTGTTAGCTTTGGAGGGGGCAGCTGGGAGGAGGGAAGGCCCTTTGTCATGAAAAAAAAAAAAAAGTTTGCCTAAGCCTCTGACAGGAAATCTTGTCAGTGAAATTTCACATTTCCTCCTTGGATATCGCAAAGACCCACATATTTTTCTGAGGATCATGTATAGCACTAGAAACTGTTTCAGGGGCATCCCTAGGACCACTCTGTAGCAATAGCAGCTTATCTACAGCTAGTATTCACGACACCCCTGTGACTGTGGGAAACACGTCGTGGTACAGGTACACAGTCTGAACCACACAACTCACCCCTCTCTCCCCAGCAGTCACCACATATTACCAAAAAGTTGATCCACCTGGTCTGGGCTCCTGGATCCCCTTGTTCCCTGAGGTGTAAAACGGTAATTTCCAGGGTCCCTTGGGTACATATAACTTTACCATATTTATTTAACACAACTTTCATGCACAAATAACTACAGGGAATTCTGAGTCCCTAGAGGGCGAGAATAGTACTGTTCATATTCCTGTATCCTCCGATCTAAAACTCCCTGGCTCATAGGCTGTGCACTTTAGGAATCAGTTTGGCTGTTACATGAAGGATGGTGACTGTTTCCTTACTCTGTGTCTGGAAAAGCAGCTATCCGTTCTTCTTTCCCCCACCCCAGGAACAGGTGGGGAAATGCACATGCCCCAAACTGCTCACCCAGAAAGCAAAATCACTCCAGAGTGCCTGAACCTGTTCATGGAAAATCTGGAAGCCTGCTCAAACAGCTACGGTGAGAAATTACTCTTCCCCCGGGTGAAAGGCATGCTTCTCATCAAGTCAGGCCAAACCCAGGAGAGTTCCTACGCTCTACAGAGGTAAACATCAACACCATCAATACAGAGAAAGTAGACGTGAATTGCCCATTTCAAGTGGCCTGTGGCCTGTCTTCTGAATGCTTTCTGACATCCACTCTTCCCTTCAGCAGTATCATACACATTAAAATAGATCACCTCATCTTCAGCCTAACAATCTCTGCAGATCTCACTGGTCATTCTCCCACACCCACTACCCTGTGTACCTGCCGGTAGAGCCCTACTTCCGTAAAGCCTGACAACGGTCGGTCTGGAGGTGGCCCCGTGACCCACCCTTGGGCAGAAAGACATTACAGAGTCTATTAGATGCTCCAGAAAAGATTTCGCCCCCCGCAAGAGCACAGTTTGAAAAGAAGGCTTTCTTTTGATCTACCCCTTCCTTTCCTCTTAGATGCTGATATGTGACAACATACGGTTAGAGCAGCGGCAGTCATCTTACAACAGGGAGAGACACAGAGAGCCACAGAGAAGCTGCCCTGACATCACTGAGCCACTAATTCAGTCACACAACCAGAGCGGCTCCACACAGATGCGCAAGTTGTACACTGTCCACCTACAAGGTGCACCAGTCAAGTAACTGTATGTGTGAACGGACACTCCCTGGAGCTGTGCCATCCAGTCTGTGCAGCTACACGCAGCCTGCAAGATGGAACCACAAGCCTGCAGACATGAACCCATGTATCTAGGCGATATGGGAGACAATAAAGGTCTGCTTTGTTTAAATCACTCTTAGGCTACTGTTACTTGCAGTCTGAAGACGCTGAAACACTGAGCAATGGGCTGTGGCTAGAGACCTGACTGCTGGTTCTGGCTCCCCCATTCAGCATCTTCAGGACCTTGGCCTAGAGACCTAACCTCTAGGAACTTAGTCTGCCCTTTTGTGAAGGGAATCACCGAGGTCTCAAATGTTGTTACTCTACATTGCAGGAGACCATGTCCTCTGGCACATGTACCCGGTTTCTGTATTTCCACTCAACATGTGACAACAATGGCTGTTATGAAACAGACTGTGGCTGCTCCTGCCTTTTCACCACCTGTGACTCACTCTGTTGACACAGAAACACAACTGCCCCAACCAACCTCCCCCCGGGCAACCCCCGGCCTCAAGTTCTCCTCCAGGCTGAAAATGCTACCATGTAAAGAAACCTTGCAAAACAGCAGGATGCCCAGAGTAGTGATGCAGACATTGAGAAACTTTCTAGAGCCTGGGCTCTTTTCCTTAAATAACTGAAGTCTCCATCTTTTTCCTCTTTTTAAGTTGTCTGAAGCCACGCTCCCGCCCCAGCTGGTTGCCAATCTGGCCCCGTTCTGCTGATGTAACATAATGGATCCCGCTTGGGTGAGCAACTAGGCAGCTGTCACAAACCCGTGTCCAATGAGCAGGCAACCGATTTAGCACCGGTGCTTCGGCTCAGTAA